GGGGGGGGGGGGGGGGCAGCTTTTCCAATCTGGGAGTGGTTAAGAACTTAAGCCTCTCGAGCGCTGAATGCATTTATTTGGGGGAGTCTTTCAAACCCAGAGTGGCAAACTGTGCTACTGCAATGCAGTGATTTGACACTGAATTTTGGCAGCATGGACTGGGGGCCTGCAAGGGGCAGGAAAAGGAGACTTCCCACCTCTGGCTTAGCGTGATGAACCGTTCGCTGTGCAGCAAATGACTCCAGGAGCAGCTCCCGCAAAGTGATTTCTTACCGGCTGTTTCCAGCTGGCGGCTGATAAGAGGAAAAGGGCAGCCCTTCACGGCAGAGGGCTTTTGGACGGGCGACAACGGAGGCTTCGAGGATTATCCTGAAATGTCAGCCCAGCAGTCTGAGTTGCCAAAGCCCACTGGCTGCCTTGAAAAACTCTTTGGTGGCTCTTTCCTGACATCGGCCGATGAAAGGCCGTCGTGCTGAGATGCTCTTTCGCCTGGCCTCTTTTTGACATCTGAAGTGCGTTGGCAGAGGATTAGAGGGCGCGGACCTGGCTGGGGCTTAGCACTAATCGTACCAGTGGCATAATCAAAATTTGTAGCAGAAGGTATTAGCGAGCGCCCAGGCCAAAGGCAGAGGTTTGAAGAGAGTAGTTGCTGCTGGAGCTGCTCATTTCGTGGCTGGAAACCTCCTCTCTCCATCTCAAAAGTGTGTGTGTTGTGTGTCTGTGTGTGTGTGTGGGGGGGGGGGAATTAACCAGTTGCTTAAGTATTTCAGGGACCTGAGAGGCTCCCAGTTCATCCCCAGATTTATTCATTTTATATTTATATTCATTTATTTATTTACGTATCAAATTTGCCACCGCCCATCTCAGATCCCAGGAGTGTGCCCATCAGATTTTTCAGACAAGGCTCCGGTAGCTCTCCTAAGCCCAGGGCACCCGTAGGGGGAGGTTAAGAAAGTCAAGATGGCACCTGCAACTGCGTGGTTGAAGCCCCGCTCCTTTTACACATGCATTTTATGTGCAACCATGTAAAAAAGGGAGCAGAACCACAACGTCTTGACTTTTTTGAGCCCTTCCATGCCCCCCGCCCCGTGGTAGATGCCGCTGCCTAAACCTGCTGCAGACAACCAGGCCTAAGCAGGCTGCCTCTCTTGCTGTTGGGGACAAGGTTTTAAAGGATTGCCCTGGGCAACCTCCAGGGCGATCCCGAACAAAGTAGCTCGGCGTAGCCGATTAAAAGACAACAGAACCAGAAATCCAGGCGCAAGTCCACACCTCCCGCTTGGTCTCGTCCCTCTGTGAGTTTCTCTGATCTGGAAATGCCAGGAATCAAACGTCCTCTTTAAGCACACGCATTACTCTTCGCTGGCTCCCATCCTCTCTCCTCTTTCCTGCAATATGTCTAATCCCACAAAAGGCAGGCAAGGGGATTTTTTTCTTTTTAATATCAGAAAGGCAGCAAAATCCTTCCTTTCATCAGGATTTAAATTTTATATTCCGGTGGCTGCAACGGAATGGTGGCATCCTGTGGGGAGCCTGCTCCTCCCCACTTCCCAGCCCAGCTTCGCGGAATGGGGTCCTGGGGACGCGGGAGCTGCTCCCTGCATGCTGCAGGGGCAGGAGTTGCTTGCAAAGGTCGAGGCGGCGGCCACAGCGCTGTGCTCCAACTGGGCCCGCTTTTGGCATAAGTGGCGCGTGCTTCGACTGCAGGCCAGGGCGCCGTCTTCCCTTTGTGGCCCAGGCCCTGTGGACGCCCTGGCAGGCCGAGGAAGAAGAGCCGCCCCCAGCGAGCCAAGCTGAAGACAGACCCTTCCCCAGCTGAAAAGGAAGCATTGCTGGCAGAGCTCCCAAGAGGCCACGTGCGTGCTCAGACGGCTTCTTTTGACGCTGGTTGCACATCCTCCACCTCTTTTCTCCCTCTTTCTCTCAGGATCGCTTGTATTTTGTGATGGAGTACGTGAACGGGGGCGATCTCATGTACCAGATCCAACAGGTTGGGAGGTTCAAGGAGCCCCACGCTGTGTAAGTCACCAACGCGGTGCTCAGGCGGGCGGTGAGGCTTTTCGTCGTTCCCGTTTCCCTGCGAGGGCCGATGCCAAGGGCCTTCTGTGCTGCGGGCCGAGGTTGCGGCTCCTGGCATCTCCACTGCTTTCCCTTCTCGCATGGCAGGTTTTATGCAGCTGAGATCGCCGTGGGCCTTTTCTTCCTGCACTGCAAAGGGATCATTTATCGGTAGGTGGCTGCGTTCCTCGCCTCAGATTCCAAACCCTTGCTCTTGTAGCCCCTGGGCTCTGCCCAGGCCCCGGCCCGCCGCCAGCCCAAGCCTTCCTCGTCTCGACAGCCCCTCTGCAGGTGCCTTGGCTGGAGGAAGGGCTTTGAGGCACCCCTTTCCTTGGCATCTTACGCTTCTGTAGGCTTGACGAGTCACAAGCGGCAGAGGGGAGATTGGCAGGTCAGCACCTGGAGCTCTTCTTGTGGTTCATCTGCTCTGCTTCCTCCCGGAAGCATCTGGAGGCCCCCCCCATTGGACTTTGGTGGAAAGCAGCCACAGCAGCAGCAGCAGCAGCA